CTTGAGATCATAAAATTATAGAATAAATAAATAATATAATTAATGATAAAATTATTAAAATAGAGAATTTGTTGGAGTTATATGTAATTTATTTTAAATTTTTTGACTTTTGATTCTTTATTTTAGAGCAATTATAGAGAATCCGTTGAAAATGTTGATCACTCAAAGTATGATAGTTTGTTGGGTTTATTTGGTTTTAAAAAGTTTAAAGGTTTATTTGATCAATTTCAAAAAAAATTAAGAATCTTTTTGTTTAACAGAAAGTTTAAAACGAACGCTGTATTCTCAAATTTGGGAGAAAAAAGAAAGGAAAAGATATATACTTTTATTTTTGTCTTTGAAAGTGAAGGAAAACGAAAAAGAAAAGAAAGAAAAAAGAATTCATGTTCTCGAACAAGAAATAAATGAATGAAAAATGTCAATTTTATAAATATATCCATTAAAATGAAAAGGTTATAATTATTTTCCTTTCATTTATTTCCTAAAAAAAGTTTTGAGAATACGAGTTCTTTTACTTTCCTCCATTTCATTTTCTTTCCTTCCTAAAAGATGTTTCGAGAAAGTAATCCATTCAAAACGTAATAGTTGTTTGGGTTGGTTTTAGACTTTTTTTCGATTAAATAAGTCGGTAAAACGATAAAACTGATCATAATGAATAAATAAAGTATTTTTTTTGTTTTATTCTGTCCATTGTCGTTGTTATAATACTGTTTTATGTGGTTTTGAGAAAAACGATAATGTTTTTATTTTTGAATAAAATATAAATTTGAAGATATCTTAATTTTTTTTAAATATATCGATATTAATATCAATAATTAGTTAAAATAAAGTTAACCCTAAAATTAAATTAAATTTAGAAATGAAACTATATCAGTAAATTGAATTTAAACTTAGAAAAGTGTTTGTGTCGAATCTGAAAACGAAGTCTGAAGATCTTGAGTTTAGAGTTATTCAAATACCCAATATTTTTGAAAAAGACCCCATGGTAAAGTTTGCATCATACAGAACAAGACTAACCAGAGCTCATCTGGTCCTTAAGGACTAGAGCCCCTGTAGACTCACCAACCAAAAGCAAGGCCAACCAAAGATCCTCTAGTCAACCAGAGCCCCTTTGGTCAACCAGAGCCTCTCGTTTGTCTATCCAAAGCCTCTGGGTCAAAAAAATGTTACATACTTAAAGAATTTGATATCCAATTACAACAGAGACTCTCTGGTTAAACATAAAGATCAAACAGAGCCACTTTGGTTCCTTTATGATGGATTGGAATATCTTTCCAATGTTCAAATAAACAACTAAAAGCAAAGCCATCCAGAAGCCAAACCAACCAAAGGGGCTCTGGCTTACAAGACTAAGTCTAAGTCTTAAAGACTTATCTTCAAAGTCTAGATAAGTTTATTACAAGACTTGTACTCTTGAAATTACTCTAAAGTAAAAAATTTCATACTTCAGATCTCTGTATAGGCAAGCCAGAAGCTCTCTGCATGCACTATGCAGATGCTTTGCATGGTGCTTCGTCTGGAAAAGAAGACTATAGAGTTCGGGTGAGCTAACTCTGAAGAATGACTCTCCAGACTTGTACTCTGGAAATAACTCTGAAATAAAACTCTGAAGAACGACTCTTCAGACTTGTACTCTTAAAATAACTCTAAAGTATAAAATTAATTCCATTAAATCAGAGTTCAGACTTCTAAGTCTGAAAAAAAAAGACTTCAGAGTTCAGACTTCAGAGTTCGGGTGAGTTAGTATGAAAAAGAAGACTTTAGAATTCAGGTGAGCTAATTTTGAAGAATGACTCTTCAGACTTATACTCTTCATAATTGTAGAAAACTTCAGACTTCTAAGTCTGAAAAAGAAGACTTCAGACTTAAACTTCAGACTTCTTTTTCTGACTCCAGAGTTCGGGTGAGCTATGTCTGAAAAAGCAAACTTCAGAGTTTAGGTGAACTAACTCTGAAGAATGACTTCAAACTTGTTCTCTTGAAATAACTCTGAAGTAAAACTTTTCAGTAAATTGAATTTAGAATATAATGAAGTTAACCCTAGAATAAAATTGAATTTAGAAATGAAATATATCAGTAAATTGAATTTAAACTTAGAATTAAACATCATTTTTTTCAGGAACAGTTACCTCACGAATTAATTAACACACGAATAAAATCAATTGCATCTTAAATTAGTGAGATTGATTGAATAAGATGACACATGTCAATCAAATGAGTATAATTGAACTGTTAATGTAAATTGTGTCTAGATACGTTCAAATGAGTCTAATTGAACCACTAATGTAAATTGTGTCTAAGTACGTGTTTAGGCGGGAAAACAAGAAAACCGACTCAACAGAAGATGATACGTGTCACCCAAGTTACTTATTTATTGTAAGTATAGATATAATTATAATGTTTAGCACAATTTTTTTAATCATTTTTATACTTGTTTCTTGTATAACATGTCATACAAATTTGTACTACTTCATATTATTTCATATTGTCGTACTTTTTTTAAAGTACGAGGAAGACGTATACCTTGAAAACAAAACTTATCTGCCAACTTTCAAAGTCACATGTTCATCCTCTTCTTTAGTCTACACCATATTTATTGACAATGTTCCGACACTTACTTTTTAATATACTTTTAAATCATCAATGAATCATATAAATCATCGCATCTTTCAAAATACCCAAATTTTCGTATTTAGATTCTTGATTTGGAACACTTTTACTTGCAAAAAAGGGTGATGATTATGTTTAACAACTATAAGTTAACTTATTTTTTATATTTGAATTAATTGAAAAACCCTCATATAGTCAGTGAGTAGCTTGCTTCTAAACTATATTTCAAAACAATATTTCTAGTAACGTTTCAATATGTTTCAAATATTTTTTTCTACTTTTTCCTCTTACTCTCCTTATACTTTTCAATTAATATACATGCCATATTAGATCATTTTACATTGTTATTTAGATTGACTTATGTTTTTATCATGACTAGTTGTGTAGCCGCGAAATGCGACGGGAGCCGTGAATTTTAACGATTTTGAAGTTCCACTTGTTTTATTAGAGAAGATTTAACAATGATATAAGTTACACTTGGTCTTTGCATATTAATACAATTTGAATAAATAAGATTTATGGTTCCAATTACACTCTATCGATGAAAAAAATTGTATGACAGTTTAAAATCCAATATATTTAAAATCCAACATATTCAAACGACTCCACAAATATGTTCGATTTACACCAAGAGCAAAGAATCAAGAGATCGAGAGCGAGACCGAGAGTTCTAGAGCAATTGAATGGGAGATGAATGAGAGAACTTTTAATAACTCATGGTGAATATCAATTTGAATCGATCACATTGAGAGATGAGGAGAAGACATAGAGGTATGAGAGGGTAAAGATGTCAAAAGTATATTGGGAACATAAAAAGAAAAAGTAATAATGTACATTGGTAACTTGTACTATATATTATTTTAATTGTAGATTAAGAGATTTTAAGATTGAATGCACAAAGTAGTACTATTTAATGCATTATGAGTTGTTTTTAAGATTTTTAAGACTTTGTGCATAAATATATAATACTTTGTATATTAAAAAATGTTTTTAAGGCTTTTAATAAATATGATTTATAAGGTACTGTAGATTGGTTTATCAACTAAATCCATTTTAACAAATATAAACTATCTTATTTTTTAAATTGATCTTTTGATGAACAAAAGTAGCTTGAAGTAGCTTTTCAATACAATGAACTTATTGCCAATTTCTTGCAATTATATTCATGAGTAATATTATTTTTTATTTATTACTATTGGATATTAAATATTAATAAATAATGTTTAATAAATATAAATTATATATCATTAAGTAATATTAGTCACAAATATTTCTTTCACATTATTTTTTAAGAATTTGGAATAATTATTATTCTTATATGTTGTTTTTATATTATTATTACTACATTTTATTTATTATTTAATATATTTAATTGTTAAAGTGTAATATAATAATTTTAAAGATATTTTTATAGATGGCATAAATTAAAGTTACATTTCTTTTATTTTGTAGATAATAAAACTTTAATATTTTAATAAAATAATTTATTATTTTCATATGCTTTGATGTATTTATTATAAATATTATATTTGATTATACAATTCCAGAATTTATAATACTATGTTAAATTGAAATTTTATTAATTAATATATTAAAATATTTATTTTCTTTATCCTCTTGTTTGCAATTAATATATTATATTATTAAAAAATTATTTAAATATATTATAAATATTAAAATTAACTAACTTTGAAAATATCCTTTTTAATAATTTTGTAATTTTCAACTACTTATAAGTTAGTTTTTAATAAATATATTATTATCAACTAACTTATCAATCAACAGTAGTTTATCATATATAAGTTGATTTATTGAATGAAATCTGACTTGTTATCCAATCGGTAGCTTTTAGCCAATAATCAATATGTGTTTTTACAATATTTTGATCGAGTTTTAAAAAAGAAATAAATAAATAGAAAAATAAAAAGGGTAAATCCGATTTATGGGTGGATTGCGTGAATCAAAAGTCCGCATATAACCCAACACACCACACTATCCCCACCCCAAAATAGTGTTGAGAAAGGAGATGGTGACAGAACGGATGAGATAGAGTGACAGTCACAGTTTCCGTCTATATATGTCTACTGTCTCGATGCATATTTAGAGTTAGAGAGAGAGAAACATACATACTGTGTGGGAGATCAACCAAGAGTTTTCTTTTCCCCTTTCACTTTTTCATTTTGTCCGTTTCCTCTGCTCCGGCCGACCAACCACCGGTACAATGTTCGTCATTTCTCTCTCCTCTCCTCTCTCTCTCTCTCTCTCTCCACATATATGTATATATATATATATATATCTTGTATTTGTATGTGGAATGTGTGATTCATGAATGTATCAACTGAATCGCTTGAGATTTTTTTCTGTTTTGTTTTGTTTTGTTTTATGTTGTAATGATCGTTTGATTGTCGACTTTTTTGTGATGTTATCTTCGTCGACTGTGTCAACGGGGAAATGTTGATGTATGAATGAGGCTACGGTGATTGTTTTTGGCGTTCTGCTTGTGAAATTCGGTGATTTTGTTTGATCAAACTGGTACATGCTGTTTGAATTGGTCAATTTCTGTATGAATTTTTATGTTTTATGCTGTAATTTGAAGGAGTCGAGACGAAAAAAAGTAAATGTAACAGTTGTTGAAACTAGACTAACTGTATGTGCTTATTTCTTCGCCCTAGCATGTTGTCGTTTGACTTGAATTCTTTTTATTAATGCGGTTTTGTTTAAATAAATTGGTCTCTTGTGCATGAACGCAGTTTGAATTTTGCAATGTAAGAAGTTTTTTAGGTCTCCTCTTTGATTGAAGGCGAAGAAGATGAAAAATACGCAACTTGTAGTTGTATCAGTTTCTAGTAAATCTAAAATTTGAACTCGATTTGCTTGTGTTAGGTTATAGCATAGTTGAAGCTTTCATTTATCTACTGTTTATTAGTTTCCAAATACGAAATTAATTAAGGTTTAGCCATTTACGTTTCATCTCTAGGATGGAAATTTTTAGGACTGCTGCTTAGTTTGTTTGAACATTTGCCTCCATTACATTATTGGAAGACGTTTCTGTTTTCTATCTAAAGGAGCGGCATAGATAAACCCTGGTTTTCTTTTTCCATCCTTTGGGTGGACCTGACTTGATATGTGGTCTATGTTTGAGAGCTTATTAGGTATTGTATTTTATATCAGGTGGACTTATTCTCATGATGTAGTGAAGGGGTCAGGTGACAAAAAACATAAATTTGGAAGTGTGGTGAAGGGGTCAGATTCTAAAAGGGTGTGTATTAAATTTGCTGCAAATCTGCATCCATTCAATGAGGGATTGTTGGGAGTTGCCGATGTATATGATGTTTAGAGTTATGGCATATTATATATTTAATACTTCTAAGAAGAAGAAAATAAATTACATGGTTATGAATGATACTTGGTTGTAGCTGCGGTTTCATGAAGCAAATTGCGTATTTGCCTTATGGCATTAGCTCTATACTTTGATGGAAACTTACATATTTTGTTGGTTTTTGCCCTTTAACTTTTTTAGCAATCTGGCAATGCTGGAGTTAGGACATCACTGGTGCACACATCTTGATAAGTTGTATTCTGAAAAAGGTTGATTATTGCAATTTTCTTGCAGTTCCATTGTCAAAGCAAATTAAAATTTTAGTCCACAATGGATGGGAATGGGAATCGGCAAATGGAGGTCCATTATGTAAACACAGGATTCCCATACACAGCCGCTGAGAGCTTCATGGACTTCTTTGATGGGATTTCGCATCAACCCACACATTATTCTCATTCTGGTCCAACGCATGATCAGGTATTTTCATAATTACTTCCTTAAGAAACCGACTTCATTACATGACTGACAACTGTCATGGTTATGTGAAGAAGTACATGGAAGGTGTCATACACAGCATACCCCCCCTTTTTTCTAAAATCTTATCTGGACTCGATATATATTATATTATAGTCTTTTAGGGGTATTATGACTTACAAGGATAATCCATATGAAACAGGGGGGTTATTGTGGAAGGAAATGGTAAGAAAAAGAATGTGGATGCATAGTTTATTAAATATCCTTGGCTTTTTGATGTATTAAATAGCAAATTGCTAAAAGAAAACCAACAGGCTTTGGATTAGATTGCACAATTTGCGATCATACTTCCAAAGCAAGCAATCAAACCAATAAACTAGCTTTTCGCTTGCATGTTTTCTGATGCATCCTACATGTCCTTTCCCACAAAAATCTGCCAAGGAATATTGTCAAGCATGCAATAGAAAAATGGGTTGGTTGTTTTGTTTGTTTGCTCTGTAACTCTGTAAGTACAATGGAAAATATGCAACTTGGACCAAGTGTTGTTTTTCCTAGCCATTTTCTCATGTATTAAAGTAACAAAGACTATACTTCATTACCTTAACCTGTGCATACAAATGATGGCAACTATTTAAACATACTATCTTTGGATATCCGGTGTTTTTAACATGAGCTAGACATTCTGTATGTGATACTAATAACATGGTTTCTGCAAGTGTTCTGTATGTGATATTGATATTATGGCGTCCTTTGTGCTCTGTCCAGGAGAATGCATATTGGTCAATGAATATGAGTTCATACAAATATGGATTACCTGCTCATGGAAGTATACCTTATTATGATCCATATGAAGTTCAGAATTATGTACCAAGAATGGATCTGAATCGAAGCGCTTGGGAATATCCTGTAATGATGAATGTGACAGAACCCGCTTCTGCAGATGTGCAGTCTGCTGAGAGTTCAGTTCCGAGCATGCAAGCTATTCCTGAAGAATGTCAGTACCTGTATTTATATTTCCAGCTGCTAAGTTGAGACATGGAAAATATACACCTTAGGGCTCGATGCAATAATTTTGATGTATGGATTATATTATGTTAATTGTAAATTATATTTACAGATCTAGAAGTTTCTGCTCTATAGATTTTCCTTTTCTTCATTTGTTCCTTTGGCATGCACCATAAAGTAGTTACCCTTTAGGTGGCTAAACTAGAGTTTGCCTGTCTCAGTGGATTTCCTTCAGTTGTGATATTCTCAACTGCAGTCAGCCTTTCCTCGTTGCTTATATAATTAATTTAATTCTCCATATCAAGCTTTAGTGAATGATCAGCCATCCTTATGCTATCTTTATCAATGTTGCAGGCAGTCCAAATGATGACAGTGCTTCTAGTTCTCAGGTATTAAGCTGTTTTATTTTTGTTTATGTGCTTTTATGCCTTCTTTTGGCAGAGTCTATGATTGGGATTATTTTCCAGGCTAACCTTTGGTCTTATTAATTGGCAGCCTTCACAGGCTTATCTGTGATACACTGATAGCAACAGAAAGCTAATAAGTGTTCTGTCTTGCAGGTTGTTTGGCAGGATGACATCGATCCAGACAATATGACATATGAGGTTTGCTATTATTGCTCATTGGTTAATGGTTATTTATTCTTAACTAACAGTTCTTTTATGTGGAAGAGTCATCTGAATGTCTGTTTTCCCATGACATATGTAATACTTCATTAAGCCAGGTTCATTCAAATTTTTATACTGTGGCAATTGAAGCCAAAGAAGATTGAACATTGTGAAACTTGTCATGTGTATCATACTGTTGATTAGGATACTAAAACATTCAACCACCTTAAGTAGTGACCACTTATGAGCATACTGGTTTCCTCTTGTGGTTTACTGTACTCTTCATACAGAATTACCTGTGTAGGGTTTAACAAGGGTGGATCATCCATTGGGACCCTCCCCCCCCCCCACCCACCGGACCACTTTACTAGTCAACTAGGGGCTAGCAACTTGTGAAGGCGCACAATTTCACGAGGGATCCGTTGTGAGCATGCAAGCCACTTAGACCCAAGTGACCCCTCCCCACTATGAAAGATGACTTATATTTAAGGGATGCTTGCTGATGACACTGTTCACAAGCGGGATCAATAATCTTTCACTAGTCAAAAGCGCACTGTGGATGCCTTTCATGTGAACACCATCAAGTGGTTTAAATTTGCAGAAAACAGCTGATATTTCATCATAAATGCCGATTTTAGTGCAAGGAACACAGTAGAAGTCACATAGCAACCAATAAATGGCAAAAGAATGAGAAGGAATATAGAATACCCTCTAACTAACTGTGGCAAAATGGGTGTGTGGAGTTGGATTGGATAATGGGCCAAGATGGTTGATGGGTCAGATGGGTTTTTTTGTAATGAGCAAAAAAGGTTGGACTAGGTTGGGTTGAATTGTAGGATGACCTCACCTTTCTCTAATTTTTTTTGGTTTTTGCACAAAAAAAAACGAAGTAGATATGTATGTCTTAAAAGTTAAAACCAATTACAATTGACCAAACAATAATCAGAAATATAACATTTTTTGAGCTAGAAATTTGAACTTTGATGCAAATTGTGAATCTAAAAAATTAATAGACTAGAACTGGGTATAGGAAATTTTCATTATCTGATAAAATTTTACGACTCCAAATTGAAATAATAATGATAACATTGATAAAATAAAGAAGTGATGTAAATATGTTCAAGTTATGAGTCACTTTACTTGTGAGATATAATAATTGTATTACCCATTATTTTACCTATACATTATTAATGTGATGTAATATTAGATGGCGCTTTGACCACAATATTAATCAAACCCATTAAACTACAGCTCATCTTGTTATTAGTGTGGTGTTTTATTTGATGACCCTTTGCTACCTCTGCTTTCAAAGGTGATGTTATATAACCAAAACTTACATTAGAAAAAACTGAATTACCCATTAAAATTAAACCAAACATATTCAGTATATCGGAGGATGCTGGGGGTGTTAGGATGTACAATTGTACACAGACCTTTCCTCTACCAAAAGGGGTAGAGAGATTGTTTGGATTGAGAGATTGTTTCCTTGAAGACACCAGGCTTGTAAAAAGTTGTGGATAGTCATGGGGGAAAAGAAAGTTTGTCTAAACTTTAAAGATTTAAAAAAGAAACGAGAGCATGAGATAGTTGAAAAGAAGTAGCGAAAGAGTGTGCAAAGCGACATCAAAGAACAAACAATAAAGGCAGTAAGGACATATGAGAGGGAATGTGCTAAAACAAACAACACACTAAACTGCTTAAAATGCAATACTGAAAACTACCATGGCAAGACCCCCTAACCATATGAAGGTGTTGCTAGCCTATGTGTTGGCTCTTTGACCCTCCCCACATCTACACTAGCTTGTGCCTGCCAAAATCCTCTACCCTAGTCTCGCGACACCAAAATCAGAGTTCATGTCCTTGGGGAGGTCTAAGGCCGCCATGTCCAGCCTGAGCTGCTTGTCCTATGCTCTTCATCACCCCTCGACTATTATGTTCTCCACCTTCCTTCCTGATATTGGGATCTGTCTCCTCTTAACGTGGTCAGAGCACCTCAATCTTCGTCTATCATTTTGTCTATGATAGGTGCAATTCCTAGCTTTTGCCCTGAAAACGCCTTCGGTATCCAGTCCAACATGACCCGACCACACATCTGTCCCAACATCCTCATTTCTGCGACCTCCAATTTCCCACTTTCTCTCATAAAAAGGATCTTACTCTGGGCCTTTTATTAGTTAGCTCTTCTGGTTTTAATGGAGCCTTCTTGTTTACATAACCGAGTCATGGAGCCTAAATACTTGACACTGCCCTTTTTGTTTACATACCCCTTCCCAATGTTGACTTCTACCCCTTGTCACTATGATGTGCGAACCTTTTGTCTCCGATGTTGCTTTCCGTTGCTCCAACTTAAGGTTCACCTCTCCTGTTTTCTTGGTAAAGTGAAGCTTGAATAACGAACTTCAAATTTGTACGGCTCGGAGAGACATCTTTCATATCTTTCGAGATCCACTCTACAATACCGGGTAAAAAACCTAAAATAATTGGAGGAACCAAATTATGTGTCTTGATAAACGGGCTTATTTTGGCTCACGTTTCGTTCTAGCTTAACTGCATGAACTTCACATACTTAACCATTTCCCATAGCAACATAATTTGTGCAGGTTCTGAGCGAAATCTTTTCAGCATGATTCTCTTGTTCAATTGATTCCAAAATCACGCATATTACCGATTCATTTCATGTATAATAACTTAAATCAAGTCATGGCTTGTAGAACTTGGTAAAAGGTTTTTAAACATGCGGCATATATCTGTGAAAATTTGGAGTGGAATGAGTCCCGTAATCATTGTGCCTCTTAGCATCTCTCAAAGTATTGTGGTATCTGTTAAGAGGTTCACAACAACAAAAATGCATCTTATACCAAATTAGTTGGGATTTGGGTAGGCTAAAAAATAACCCGAAAGAAACTCTAAAAAGGTGAATGCCCATAGAATTCCATGTAAAAATGGTGATTCTGGTGCTAATATGCCTGCCAATGATATGAAATATTATCAAGGAAAATTACTATCTGAAAGAAGTTTCAGCTATGTAGTAACATTCGTTAATGAAGGACAGACAATAGTGCATGGGGACGAAACTCGAAAGGATACAGTTTGTTATGTGGTAACATGTGATCACAAGAGCTTATTGATGTTCTGTATTTTGTGATGCAGGAATTACTTGATTTAGGGGAGGCAATTGGGAGTGAGAGTCGAGGTCTTTCTCAAGAGCTTATTGATTCGCTTCCAACTACAAGATATAAGGCTGGTGGATTCTTCTTGAGAAAAAAATCTGGAGAGAGGTTAGGTTCATTTTTATTTTCAATTGTGTTTGTTTTTTGATGATGGATATGATGATGATGATGGAAAATTAGCAGGTGTGTGATTTGCCAAATGAAATATAAGAGAGGGGAGAAGCAAATGAATTTGCCATGCAAACATGTTTACCATACGGAATGTGGCTCCAAATGGCTGACCATTAACAAGGTACCTAACTACTAATCCTTGATTAATTAATTAATTAATTAATTACTAATCAATGATGTTAATATAATTGTGTGTAACAGACATGTCCAATTTGCAATGTGGAAGTGGTTGGGGAGGAGTAGCTAAGCTAAAGGAGTTGATGTGAGTGTGTGTTAAATTTTCCCATTTTGGATTTCTTTGTTTTAGTTACTCTTTACTTACATAGCAGCAGCCGCAGCAGCAGCCAGGTAGAAGTTTACTATCATCACTACTACATGTTTTATAGCTTTTATTTATATGGAAAAAAAGGTGAATATGAAAAAGACTTGAGTATTTGTTTGTTTAGGTAATTAAGATCTTCATTATTTTCTAAGATCAATGGCATGTAAACAGATTATAAGGTAAAATGCCATTTTCTTTCCTTTTCCTAATCCCACTTTTCCATACTACTTTTCACTCCGTTACATTTGGTAATTGTTTTTGACTCCTTGCCACTTTTAATGCAAATACCAGTAGTCATCTTGTAAATTTGTCTAGGCTTTCTTTATTTTTATTATTTATCAACCAATATAGCTTCTAAATAGTTGGTTGAAGCTATATCTATACTTATAATAAATAACTAATTTGGGTGACACGTGTCATCTTCTGGTGAGTCGGTTTTCTTGTTTTCCTGTTTAAATACGTAATTAGACATAATTTACATTAGTGGTTCAATTAAACTCATTTGAACGTATCTAGACATAATTTACATTAACAGTTCAATTATACTCATTTAATTGACATGTGTCCTCTTATTCAATCAATTCCACTAATTTATGATGCAATTGATTTTATCCTTGGGTTAATTAATTCGTGTGGTAATTGATTCCTGAAAAAAAAAATGGTGTTTACTTCTAACTTTAAATTTAATTTACTGATATAGTTTCATTTCTAAATTCAATTTACTGAAAAGTTTTATTTCAGAGTTATTTCAAGAGTACAAGTCTGAAATCATTTTTCAGAGTTAGCTCATCCGAATTCTGAAGTTCGTTTTTTCAGACATAGCTCACCCGAACTCTGGAGTTTGAACTCTGAAGTCTTCTTTTTCAGATTTAGAAGTCTAAACTCTTAAGTCTTTTTTTTAGACTTAGAAAAAGAAGTCTGAAGTCTCCTTTTTCAGAATTAGAAGTCTGGTCTCGAAAATCTTGTACAATTCTGAAGAGTCATTCTTTAGAGTTGACTCACCTGAATTCTGAAGTCTTCTTTTTCAGACTTAACTTACCCAAACTCTGAAATCTGAACTTTAAAGTTTTTTTTTCCAGACTTAGAAGTCTGAATTATGATTTAATGGGATTGATTTTATACTTCAAGAGTTATTTTAATAGTACAAGTCGGAAGAGTCATTCTTCAAAGTTTTATTTCAAAGTTATTCCAAGAGTACAACTCTGAAGAGTCATTCTTCAGAGGTAGTTTACCCGAACTCTGTAGTCTTCTTTTCCAGACAGAGCACCATGTAGAGCTTCTGGCTTGCCTATACAGAGCTCTGAAGTCTGAAGAGTTTTACTTCAGAGTAATTTCAAGAGTACAAGTCTTGTAATAAACTTATCTAGACTTTGAAGATAAGTCTTTAAGACTTAGACTTAATTTTGTAAGCTAGAGCCCCTCTGATTGGTCTGGCTTCTGGATGACTTTGTTTTTAGTTGTTTATTTGAACCTTGAAAAAATATTTCAATCCATCATAAAGGAACCAGAGGGGCTCTGGTTGATTTCATGTTTAACCGGAAGGTTTCTGGCTGTAATTGGAACTCAAATTCTTTAAGTATTTAACATTTTTTGACCCGAGGGCTCTGGATAGACGAACCAGATGCTCTGGTTGACCAAAGGGCCTTTGGTTGGTCTTGCTCTGTATGATGCAAACTTTATCATGGGGTCTTTTTCAAAGATATTAGGTATTTGAATAACTTTGAACTCAAGGTCTTCAGATTTCGTCTTCAGATTTGACACAAACATTCTTCTAAGTTTAAATTCAATTTACTGATATAGTTTATTTCTAAATTCAATTTTATTGTAGAATTAACTTCATTTTAACTAATTATTGATATAGTTTCATTTTTAAATTCAAGTCTGAAGAGTCAATTTTCAAAGTTATTCTTTAGAGTTATAATTCAAAGTTATTTCAATAGTACAAGTTTGAAGTCATTCTTTAGAGTTATACTTCAGAGTTATTTCAAGAGTACAAGTATGAAGAGTCATTCTAAATGTTAGCTCACCCGAACTCTGGAGTCTGAACTCTGAAGTCTTCTTTTTCAGATTTAGAAGTCTGAACTCTAAAGTATTTTTTTTAGACTTAGAAAAAGAAGTTTGAAGTCTTTTTTTCTAGACTTAGAAGTCTGAACTATTCTATATATAGGGGCAGGTTCAAATGAAAACCATGCAATTCTAAGAAACCGTGTAAACCAAATTCGACCAATAGAAAAATTCCATTTTTTTAATTAAATTTAATCAATAAAGGTATTTTGGTCATTTTCTATATTTTTATGATAAATAAGGTAGTTATTAATAAATATTAAATAAGGAAATTTAATAATGGAAATTTCTTGAATGGTAACATATTAAAAAATTTAATATATTATAATATTAAAACTTGATTTGAATGGGGCATTCATAATGAAACAGTTTCATAATGAAACAGTTTCATAATGAAACTGTTTCATATGAGATGTTCATATGGGGCGAACTTCATTCCTAAAGTTCATGAAACTGTTTTATATGGGGCAAATATCATGAAACTGTTTCATAATGAAAAAGTTCATAATGATGAAGCATGTTCATAATCTAATACTCGAGGCTCCAAATTAATACTCAAGACATATTATCCACTTTAATGAAAAGGTTTCATGAAACTGTTTCATAATGAAAAGGTTCATAATGATGAATCATGTTCATATGAGTGGAATAAAGAAAATGAACTATTGATGCAACGGTTTCATCAAACGTTTCAAAACAGTTGAAAAATCGAAATAATATAATCTCTCTATTTCCTAATGAAAATATTGTAATGAATAGTTTCATAAACAAAGTTCAAAAAACAATGGTCATGAAACTGTTTCAATGTGAAAAGGTTTCATCGTAAAATGGTTTATTTACTCCGTCTATGCATATTATACGTGTTAATGAAATAGGTGCTTTGTGATTGAAGTTACATGGTTATCCTTGTTGCTTTGTGATTGAATGTACATCTAGGTTCATGATGATCCATGTTGCTTTGTGATTGAAGTTAATTTGTTTAGTTGGTAGGATGAAAATGAAACGGGTGCGTAATGTATTGTGTTCTTTTATGAAATATATATATGATGAAACAGGTGCATATTATATTTTGTTCTTTATGGAATTAATGTTAATGTGAAAAAATTTCATTATAAAATGGTTCATTGATGTTATATTAATGTTAACTTTTGTNTTTTGTTTATGGAATTAATGTTATATTGATGTTAACTTTTGTTTATGTAATTAATGTTATATTGATGTTAACTTTTGTTTACCAATTTGCCCTTATCATTGAAATAAAATATTTTTTTAATATTTTTTATTTTTTAATTTCCTAAAATAAAGTAAACTAATTTTAGCCATTGATCAAAAAAATGGACAGATGAGATTGGTTTACACGGTTTACACAAATGGGACAAGTTTTTATTTGAATGCTCCTATATATATATATATATATATATATATATATATAGGGGTTGTTCATCAAACATTACCCGGTAAATGCTTACCTGTAAATTTAACACTATCATTTACTTATGCACCATGACGAGATTCTATGGCGTGAGGTGTGGTGTGGCTGCAAGATCAAATGTCAAAGCCTTATGCACCATGACAAGAACATGGTCTTTGACCCAAGGTGACAATTTTGTATGACACACACACACACACATATCTAAACACCTAATAAATAAGTAACTTGGCTGTCACATGTCGTTTTATTGTGTGACGGTTATAAGGATTTCCCGTCTAAACATGTATGTAGACACAATTTACATTACTGGTTCAAATGGGTCTATTTAATTGACATTTGTCCCTGTAAACATAACTGATTACCGTATGAAAAAGGATTCCTTTTCAAAGACTTAAATAAGCAAAAGTCTGGATTTCCATTCCTCAGACTTATAAGTCTTATATTTACAGACTTTTTCAGACATAAAAGTCTGGGAAATTCAGAGTTGCAAGTCTGAATTTAAATTTAGAGTGTCTTTCAAACTAGTAAGTCTGAATATAGGAATTCAAATGAAGTCTGAACTGTGAAATCTGAACTACATCAGGTTTTGGTTATTTCCTAGACTTGCAAGATAACTCTGAATTGGTGTGGTGTAGAGTTAAAGTTCATAGTTGTTTGCTATGCAACAACAACATGGCAGGTAACTTGACAAAGACCTTTGCATCAAACAGAATGTCTGGATATAGAGAAAGACCTAACGAATGCTATCTATGACAAGAACCATTAGAGACCTGACCTTATCCATCCGAGTTAGACTTCTCTTGGTGATGAACTATCAAGTAGCCGTCTCATCATATTTGGATCCATCAGGCCTTTGCCCACAAGTTGAACAACCAGTGATTGATGAACTGTCATTTTTGCTAGAAAGGCAACAGGTCTTGCAGCATCCTTTAATTCCACATGTTCCAAACATCGAATTATTCGCCCATGAATTCCTACCTGCCAGATGCAAAAACCAACATTTACAAAATTAGTCATAAACATGCACTCCTCAATCGTCTCTGGACTATGAATATTTTTAAAATATGTAAGGGAATATTAACCTCCAGAAGGATTTGAATATACTTTCCCATGCTTGCTTCTATTGCTCTAACCATGACCTTGTCGTCAGCAAAAACCTTACCACCAGGAGACCCCATGTTTGGAAGAAAACCGTTATTCACTAAAGCAACAACAAGAAGTGTAAGTCTGAATCAGAGTTGTAAGTCTGAATTTAACTCTGAAGTGACCTACAGACTTCTAAGTATGAATGTAGGAATTCAAATGAAGTCTGACCTATGAAGTCTGAAAGTCAAGTGTAATTCAGACTTGAAAGTATGAATTTAGGAATTCAAATGAAGTCTGAGCTGTGAAGTGTTGGAATTTCTACTTTTCGATTACTTGGATTCCATTGAAAGTCGTGTATCACTTTCAGATTGAAGTATTTCGATGGTACAATCGAAATTTCAATTGGATAAAATTCAATGGTTTTTCCTGAACAGAGAGTTTTCCTGTGTCATCAAATATGTGTTCCGAAAATCCAATGACCAAATCGTAGTTTTTCCCTCAAACGGTCGAAAACTGCCATACGACAGTTAAAAACCGGTTTTTCAAAACATAGTCAAAACCGGGTTTAAAATTTCAATTTCGGATTTTTGAAGCATTTTTCACAAAACAATATTTTCGACCCCAGCCAGGGGATATGCCCCTTGGACCCCGCCATCGGGGGCGCTGCCCTCGAACCCCCATCGTTTATGGGCTTCGCCTTTAAATCAAAATAAACTCAAACAAGTGTGCACTCCACACCTTCCTTACTTGTTCGATATTTATTATGATTACATTGGTCAATAAATTAATCATATTACACTTAAATGATATTAGTGATACAAATCACCAACATGAAGTCCTCAAATATTGATTATTTCTCAGACTTACAACATAAGGCTAAATTGTTCTGTTCCAGACTTAGTTCCATAGTTTATTCCCAGACTTAAAATACAACTCTGAACTCCTCTTCAGAGTTGAAGTTCAGAGTTACATTTCTGAGTTATAAGAAGTCAGAATTCTTGTGATTAAGACTTATGCTCATAGATACTTTCTAGACTTAGAAGACAACTCTTAATTCTTCTTATTCAGAGTTAAGTACAAAGTTATTTTCCAGCCTAACAATAGAACTTTGAATTCTTGTGTTTCAGAGTTTTCTTTTAGATCTGAGGAAAAGTCTCAACTCATTTTTCTCATTTAAAATATCCCGTGTAATACACGAATTCGAACCTAGTGTGTGTGTGTGTGTATATATATATATATCTATATATATATATATATCTATATATAGATAGATAGATAGATAGAGAGAGGGGAAGATTCAAACGAGAACATTAACTATTTAAGAAAATTAGAAAAATGTTGTTAATATACAAAATCACATGTTGATTTTACATTAAATGGAAGCGGGTGACTTTTGAGGTCACTTAAGTTGCAGGGCAACGTTGTCCGGATCATATATGATTTGTTACGTGAATCATATATGATATTGCACATTAATGATATTTTTTTTTTGTTTTTTTAAATAGTTGGCGTTTTTGTTTGAACCTACCCCTGTATATTGATGGAGGTTCAAATGAAAACACATATGTTTTACGAGAATGAAAGAACATTTGTGGGCCTCCAAAAAATATAACCCGCAATTAAAATTTACAGAAAATAAAGTAATTAATAAATCATGTTATTAATTTCGTATTTATCTGTAATTTTGGTGATATCCTTATCTTTAAAATCACATACAGATTATACGGTAACTAGTATCAGATAATTATTATAGCTAAATCACATAATGAATAGATAGGTCGATTAATATAGATATGATCCTCGTTGGTTCTCAATTATCACATTGCTATCACAACAAAAATCTTATAATTATTAGATGATTATCACATCAAAATCACATTATGAACAATCTTTAATTTATCAAATCATTATTACATTATCATCATGACAAAATCATATTATTATCATTGTATTATTACATCATTATCGACAACGGACACATCGATGTAAGTCTCCGATAATATAACAAAATTTAAGGAATAAAGATAAATCTAGAATAATAGAAAATTATGGATAAATGCTAATTTATTTTCATTTATTATACTTTTTATTATTTGTTAGTTAAATTTTATTTTTATTTATTCTATTTTTTATTATGTGCTAATTAATTTGGAGGCGCAGAAGTGTTCTCACATTTTCATGAAATATGGGTGTTCTTGTTTGAACCCTTCCACACACACACACACACACACACACACATATATATATATATATATGTGTGTGTGTGTGGGGGGGGGGGTTCACGTGGGACCATACTGTTTTCGTGAGACCATTTTTTTACACTTGAAACTTTACAGCAAAACACTGTGAAGATAAAAAAAATCTGAACCTTCACAACAAAAACACTATGAAGGTTATCTTCACAGTGTTTTGCTGTGAAATTTCAAGTGTAGAAAAGTGGTCTCACGTGATCTCAAGTCTCTCTCTCTCTCTCTCTCTCTCTATATATATATATATATGTATATGTATGTATGTATATGTAAGGTTGGGTTCTCGAATGAAAGTTATAGTGAGAAGTGTAAATAGAGATCTCCACATTTGAATCAATCATAATTGAATATCAACAATAATGATGCACATCGAGATGTATCAGATCAATTCTCTTTTAAAACGCAATTTGGGCATGAGATTAACAAGAGTTCAGATCTCTTCTTTCGTCTTTCACATAACTTCATTTCTTAGATGATGCTTAGCCTATATAATTATATATATATATATATATATATATATATATGTGTGTTGTGTGTGTGTGCGTGCTTTTTACAATTATTAAATAGAATAATGATATTGAACTATTTAAATTCATATGAGAAGAATCCATCATACAATTTTCAAATACAATCTAGAAGGGTTTTACAGTTTTGTTTTGATTGTGATTCCATGATGTAAGAGAGTGAATCCATGACCTTGTGGTTGGCTTCGGTGATCAAGTGTTTGCGAGTCATGTTCTGTTTTCTTTACGTTTTTGCGGCTCTTTTTGTTGTCGTTGTCCTTTTCGGGGGTTTTGACTTATTGGTTTCTTTGTGGATCTGTGTCTTGCATTTAATTCATACTCTCTTTTGTTTCTCCTCATTTTCTGTTTAATATGTTTGCTTACCTTTCAAAAAAAGTATAGATCAATTTCATGTTTACATTTTAAAAAAGTCTCGTTGATTATGGCAACTTTGTTTATCTGATTTTCAAATCCTTATTTTTGACCCCTAAAAAATGTTATATTACAACAAATTCTAAACATAATCTAGAAAACAGCTACTACTTATGAAACATAAAACAACATAACTAACTATTAAAAATAACAGAGTTCTTAACAGATTATTTAATCACGTTCAAATTTGCAACCAAACATCTTCTAATTTCCTTTATGACTAGTTAGTTTCAAACTCCCAAGCCTTAAAATTTCCATAATTACAATAACTAAAGTATGATCTTTGCCATAAAAATATGAGAATAAACATTGGATAATTTTCACGTTCTTGGGAATTAAGCTATGTTTGCTAGCAAGTTAATTAGTCTAATGAGACTCACAGCTTATTCGGTTATCTACATATAATAACATGACTATTTGGTAATGGCTTAATGATATATAAAGTGATTTATTCAGTAAACTTTCAGTGTAAACTTTATACAGTGAGTCAAGTTTTTTTTTTCTTCTAAATTTGCACCTTCCAATTAACAAACACGCTCGTTCAATTTATAAAAATTCTCTTCCAAGCAAATTCTTTTTCAATTTATACAAACTTATTTATTTAAACAGACAAATTTATCCATAGAAGAGTTATTGAAAAATTTAAAGGTATGTGATTTATAAAAAGGATGTGAAAATAAACATTAATAAAAAATTAAATTGGGAGAATATACGATGTAACGGTCAGAAAAATAATAATGCAGTAAAGGCCCCACCCCACAAACGTCTCACTTGCCTTCTTCAGCTCACGCCCAAAAAACAAACATTCTCAAAACGTTTCTTCTTCTTCTTCTGACGGTTGCAGGCAGATCTCTATGGAAGTAGCTACGATCGATTGGAAGGATTCTAAGTTCGAGAAAGATGAAGTCTACGAACATATAGATGCTCCTCAATGGATCGATTTGTCTGCTAATCATCCTCCTCTTCATCACGATGATGATGCTTGGTTTTGTCGACCTGGTAATTAAATATCCACACCAAAACATGTTTCTCGTTTCTTTTGATTTTGAATTGCTTTTTTGAGTTGAAATTTTTTAATTTAAACATGAACTTCGTAGTGAAAGCTATCGAGGAGTAGTAGAATTTTATGTGATTTTGAAGTTGAAACGTAGATTGATTGGGCTTAAAATGTCTTATGTTCATGTATACTTTGATCAGAGGGAGTGATTTTTAACCTGATGACTAATTTTTGTGGTCGTTTGTTGTATTTGGTGTTTACAGATTGTGATCATCCTAAAACAGCCGATGATTTCTTCATAAAAACGTTCCCAAATCCTTCTAAGGTATTCACTCTTGAGATTTCCTTTTGATTTCCAAAATTCTCGTTGATTTGTTTCATTCGTGCCTTAAAACCTAAAAAACATTACTCAAATATAACACCGGGTTGAGGAAAATCTATACAGATCTGCATGAACAATCTGCGCAATATTAAATATTTTACTTAAAAGGATATGAATAGTTACATTTAGGGCAATCCCCAAATTTGGGTCAGTTTTGTTTAGCCATTTGATCGTTAGGGTTTAATCTTGAACTCAAATGGGTTGTTTTTTTTAATCAGTTTTATGGTTAAATTTTTCTGAGTTCTGTTTTGTTTTGTGTCAAGCTTCAAAGGTCAGCTAATGTTTCTGAGAACCCTCCAGTGGATGACCAAAATCAGAGGTACAGAAACAAACTTAGCTTTTGAACGACTGGTGATTCATTGATGCCTAAAGCTAATTCACTGTTCTATTTGTATACCTCATTTAGCAACACACCAATGAAGAAAAGAGGAACTCCAATGAACATAAATTCGAGAAGTGCTAAACATGTACAAGATAATGAGAATCAGAACCCCAACTGTTTATCCCCTGCTGATCACCCGGTCAAATTAAGCGAGGAGAAGAAGGCAGAAAACAGTTCTTCAGTAAGCGAGGAAACCCCAAGGAAGCTGAAGAGCACATTTTCAGCACGTAATCTATTTGCAGGAAACAATATATTAAATCAGATAACGGAGTTTTGCAATGAGTTGAAGAGATTGGCGACAAGAACAAAGCAGAGTGGGGATGAGCATGGGGAGAAACAGATTGAGCAGAAGAAACCGGGGGCAGGTGTGTTGAAAGAGAGAGAAGTTCAAAGGAAGCCATTGCTAGAGGCAACAAAAGTGAAACATGAAGATATTGAGAAGAGCAGCAGTAATGGCAAAGATAAACTTACAAGGAAAATGTAAGTCCTTTTTTGTTGGTATTTGCATACACAAGATGTTGGTAGTTGCATACACAAGATGTTGGTGACTCTGCCCGACATCTCCACAATGTTAAAGTCTCTTATCAGCTAGAATTGGACCATTACTCCTCAATATAGGTGGGTGAAAGAAATGTTGAAGGTTTTAGGGTTTTAATTTGACATTGGTAGTTTAGTAATAATTTTAGCAATCTTGTCTCATATCCTGGATTTTTGTCCCACTCAATCCCGTATTCCGTTTTGCCCCGGTCAATGTCGCGTCAAACGTGAAACAATAAGTTTTTGTTTGGTCCTCACCAAACACACCCTAATATATGTTGGAACCTCTTTTCTTTGAAGAGTAATCTAATGGGATCCACATATTCTCACACCCTCTATCAGTAGGACACAAGAATAAGGAATCTCTGCTAATTAAACTTGATTTTCACCAATCTTTAGGACCCAATTTCTGATGAGCATGGCATAAGAATCCTGTTGTGTTCATGTTGGAAAACTGTACACTTCATTTCATAATCATGACTCAATTTCATTTGTGTTCGTTTGTAACATCCGTACAGAAGGAATACCGGATTAGAGAACAGCCCAATTGCCGAAACCACAAAGAGCACAAGACGAAAAGCGGAGAAGAGAGTGTTTCAGATCCTAACCACCAAAGCCACCCCACCCAAGGCTTTCTGGACTAGACCTCAAGTATGTTCTCTAATGCTGTCATAACTTTGAAGCTCAAATCATATAAATTGGATCATGTTTTCATTTGCTTATTATTATATGAACTTAAAAGGCATGTTTCTGCATCAGTTTTGAGGCCATGGACATCAAATTTGTACATTTTAAAGCAGCAACAGCAAGAAGAAGCAAGAATATGGGAGGGTGGCAACACTGATCAAGGTAATAGTGCTGCTTCCATCTCATAGCTCTTGAAACCCTGCATATTTTCTAGCTAAATATTATAAATTTATAAGCTAAATTAAATCATTTTTTAATTAGTTAATTCTTTGGAATTTATCTTGAAGGAAATCTTTAGTTTTTTTTACCTTTGTTACTTTATTTATTTTCTTGTTGATGACAATAAAGTTGTGCAAGTACACAATGTTATAATGAAAATTTCATTAACAAGATCCTCTATTAGCCGCATGTTAAATATGGGTTTTTGAATATTTCCCTGGGACCTAATTTTACTTATGTTTTGAATAGACTGTGATTGTATGATGTAAATGTACTTATGCATTTCTTGTCCAATGTACTCGCATGATATATATTTCGATTTTAATGTTTTATTTTCTCTGTCGATATAATAGGGTTTTATGTGGTTTTTAGAAATGGATGAAAAATGTACCGATATTAGTGTTAAATTAATTATTTAAACTTTATCATTTCTATGTAATTTTTTTATTTCGATTTTTTATTATAATTTAATTTATAATTTAGTAACAAAGTAATTTATTTTTTATAAAGATGATAATTAAATATTCTGTTAAAACTCAATGACTATCTTAATTATATTTTAATTTTTTATATTTAAAATGAAATGTTTATCGTGCATTTGATTATGTTTATCTTTAGTTAGTTACATGAATTCAAGAATAGAGCTTCAATAAGTTGTACTTAGCACAATTACTTGTAATATTGAATTTTAAGTAATATGCATTGATATACAATACTTCATCCAAAAAGTGATTCCCAAGACTAGGAGACTAGTCTGATACAAGATGACTAAAACTAAGAAACAATCATAAGAGAGAGCATGAAGAACATGAACTTAAACTTAAGAATAAGAGAGGATATAAGAAAGACTTTTATTTCTTTTCCAAGGATGATTTACAAACGAGGGGAAGTCTTCCTTTTATAGGGAAGGAAAAGGTACCCCTGCGCAAGCATGACAAAAGCAAGTAATAATACAAACTAGAAAACAAACTAAATGAGGTAAGCGCTTACATCACAATAAAGTGACTTCAAGCTTACACCATTATTATAATACCATTTTGTCTTTTAGTCGAGACAATTATTTTTATCATGCTACGATAATTATTTCCAACGAGAGTCAGGATGAGATGGATCCGTCTTCATAAGGATTGTGCAGTTTTTCTTCGGAGTCATGATGCTCGTTGTCTTCATCATCGGAGGTGTCTATTTTCTTCGTGAGATGAGTTTGGAACTAATGTTCAAGTGCTTCGTCCCATGATGCAGAAACTGGATGTTCGGAAGACCAAAGTTTTTCAATGTTCATAACTTGCTTTGGGATCGAATCTAGTTCACTGGCTAGAATCTGCCTTGTTTCCATATACTTTATTGGTTGGGATAACTCGAAGTACTTACTGCCTAGGTTGTTGTCGAAATTCATGGACGAATGTTAATGGAGAGTGGTAGATCAATGATTGTTGCTGTCAAAGAGCTGTATGTGGTAGAAAGAAGCAGGACCTCCTAAACATGATTACAACATACGCCTTTTAGCAGACAACTAATCCTTGAATCCACTGATGTGCTGGGAGGAATCACTGGAGAAGGGTAAACACATTCTTTGCCCTTGGGGCGGACCCTCAAACTGATATTGGAAAATGTAGCTGAGTAGTTTGGCTGAGTTGAATGATATTGCGCTGGTATGAGACTCGAATAGATACCAGAAGAAACAAAGGGCTTCTTTTGGGAACGTATGTAAGTCATGGATATGTAAGACATTTAGGAACGTGTAATCTGGATGGAACTGGAGGTTTTCATGAACATGTCATGCTTCTTTGGTGTGATAGTGAAGAACGTTTTACAATTCAACTGTGATCTTTCTCTTAAGGTGAGGTTAGCAATTGTTTCTGTTATTTCATCTGGTAGGACTTGTGGTGGAGTTATAGTACCTTCAGCTGGATCGACCTGATGTGGAGGTTGAGAAGTGTTTGGAATAAATGAGCTGGAAGAGCTTCCTTTCTCTACAGGAAACACCATTGGAAGGACCTTCGCTTTGTGGATTGTCTGGATATTTTTTCGAACATCGTATTTATAGCCCTTTGGTCTGGACGCCCTTTGGACTGGACAGAAAATCTGTTAGAATATTTGCTGATCCCTTGATGTGTTTCATAGTGAATTTCCATTGAGAGAACCAATTTACCCACCTCAAAAGTTAGGCTTCTGGGAGTATCTTTCCTTTGAAATGGAGAATGCGTGGGAAGGAAGATATCCATTTCAATCTGGAAATCGTGACCGATTAGATGGAATTGGATTCTTTCTATTCCCCTTTTGACAGCTAAGATCTATTTGAAAGTAGAGTGGTAGTGTTGCTCTGATTATTTGAACGTGCCGCTTTTGTATCCACAAATTGTTCTGACACCAGTTTTGTCTTGAAATTGGGACTGCCCCCCAGTACTTACTCATCAGTTGCATAAGTCTGGAGGACTCTTTTGCCAGAAACAGTAGGAATCTTAAAAGAAGACATCACATCAGCCAGTTGTTTTATTCTTTATATAGCTAATGTCTGTTTTCTACCCCAAAGGGGCGGACTTTTTTTCAGCATGAGGAATAAATGTACAGTGTGGCTCAATAATTCAGGCAAAAAAATATGCCATATAATTTACCAGCACAAGAAATTGTTGAATTTCTTTTTCTGACGTCAATATTCCTGGGAACTTGTGCAGTTCTTGAGCAATGTGAGGCTGTGGTTGGTATTGTCCATCAGATATTTTCATACCAAGAAAATCAATAAAATTTACTCTGATTTCCATCTTTTATGTGAGATTTTTCGTCTGGTGAGAACATAAGAATGTCATCGATGTATACAAGAGTGTTGTTGAGTATAGGTTCAAAAATCCTTATCATTGTCTTTTGGAAGACAGATGGAGCATTTTTTTTAAACCGAACGACATTACTTTTCACTGGTAGTGATGGTTTGGGATGCAAAAGGCAGTTTTTGGTCTGTCATCAGGACTTAACCCTAATTGTCAAAAACCAGCTTTGTGATCAAATTTTGATAAAACTTTTACATCTGCAAGAGACTGTAACAATGACTTCTTCTGTGGTAGAGGGAACTTGTCATCAGCCAAAAACTGGATGAAGGGTTGATAATTTATGACTAGCCTAAGTTTGCCACGAACTTGTTCACTCCTCTTGTTAACATAGAATGTTTCACATGTGCATGGTGATGTATTTGACTCTATGAGATCCTGACTTATCAGTTCCTGAACACTCTTGGGTTGCAAGCTGGTAGTGATCTGGATTCATGCCCGGATGGCTTGCTCTTATGGAGTTAACTAACATCTTMGTTTTGTTTGAATGTGAGTGTAACAAAAAATGAAGGATTTAACCATAGTGGAGATCCACTTTTCTTCAAAAATTCTATGAGATTGAAGGCGCACAAAATTTGAATAATCTGGTGTTTGAGACTACCATAGTGATGTCTGATGTCATATAGAGTCGTGGAATAGAGCTCCATGGATTTAGGAAACTCTTGTAGCGTAGACCATGTTTTGCATACCTCAATCCTGGTAGTGTATGGAGTATGTTGAAACCAATCAGAAGGTATTTGCCATGCGAACTGGATCCTAATAATTCGTGTTTAACCATACATTTAGGAAAAAGCCGGAACCGGGATACTGATTTTGTCAATGACAAAAGTATCACCATTGGCTGCAAGAAAGTGTTGGTGATGCGACCTCCAGTAGTCGCTGGGTAAGATAGTGCGATTCAATATTGAAACAGAAGACCCAGTATCAAAAAAAGTCGACAACCGAGAAAGGTTTGGCATATGTTGTGGTGAGAAGGTAGACTTTGGTTAAAAGAACTGGCTGTGATTTTTGTACGGGGAATACATGTGGGACAAAGTTTCGAACGTGTGGGAGAGGAAAATGGCTTGCTTGAAAAACTGGAAGAGGTTTTCTCATGAAAACTTTAATGTCGGGATGGTACTCTGAAAACTCAGTTTCGAACTCTTCATCTGAAGAGTCTAAATAGGCAATTGAACATAATGACCGGTCATTAAGTTCATCATCAAGAGAATAGAGATATTCCAGATCTGAGATGTCGACCGGCTCAATTTGGTTGAGTGTCTGAATCAACGCTTGGGATTTTCTCTTGTCTTTATAATCTCTTGCAAAGTGCCATTTCTTGTTGCATATGTAACACCTATCAGTGTTTTGACCCCGTTGTTGTTTCCGTTTCAAGAATTTCCATCTTTTGTTTCGACCGTTTTGTGAGACGAAAGGCTTTCTTCTTTCACCCGAAGTGGACATCTTCTTTTTGTGAGAACAATCGCAGGAAGAACTCTCTTTGCATTTTATTCGTAAATACTTGTCATCACAAGCTGTACGAAGGGTTTTGCTAGTCTTCTCGAGATTAGAAAAGAAGTTTCTTTGATTGCAAAGCTTAGCAAGTGCATTCATTACCAGCTGGTAAGTTCTCCTATTGAGGCTTGTGCAACTGTGATCCCTTTCAGCTCTAAGAATCCTAAATGATTCATTTGCTAGAGTTTCTTGGAAGGAGTTTAAAAATACTTGCTTGAAATTCACATCATCTGGTCCATTTAGACAATAAATTTTTTTTGACATGCGATCATAATGTCTCTCAAGATCTTTTTTCTGATATGAACGACACTTCATTTTCAAGAACTCTTCTCTTGCATGGGCAGTGTGCTCGATTGGATTGCCTATAAATTCAACATAGATTTTATGTATGAGTTATTCAGGAGACTGAGATTGCTGGATTTGTAGTCTCCAAGACTCAAGTACCAATCTCTGAGGCAACCTTGGCACATGGTTATGAATCTTTTAACTACTATGTCAATATCATAATATTGGAGTTCTGCACTACACCATGTTTGCATTTCAATGCTTCTGTCCCTCCATCTTGATGGGGGAATGTCATCAAAGGTGAACTGTTGTTTAGTATCACCTTTTGGAACTTTGGCCCGTCTTTGGGGTGTTGTTTCTGAACCAGTGTCACTGGGTCCTTCTACTTCTGAATCAACACGATACTCGGTTTTTGGCTCTGTCATGAACAGGTGTTCGAATACTTTTGTTGGGTCAAAATCACCTTCTTCATTTGTGGAGGAAGAGATGAT